TCTCTCAAAGAGCAGCCAGTGGGCGTGAACCATCAACCTTGCTAACCCAGCCCCGTTTCAATGTTTGATTCACAACAGTCTGAGCCTCCAGCTGCACAAACCCCTCTCTCTCTCTCTCTCTCTCGCTCTCGCTCTCGCTCTCGCTCTCGCTCTCTCGCTCGCTCTCGCTCTCTCACTCACTCGTTGTCTCTGGGATTCTCCCACAAAAGCTCTCAACTTCTCAAGACTGGCCCTTCACACCCCACCTAAGATCCTGTCTTTGGAAAGCAGGTGGGCTTCCTGCCCTGTAAGACCACTTCCCTTCAGTCCAAAGCACTCGTTCCCCTGCTCCACCCCACCCCAAAGGACTGTCAAAACCCCACAGCTAAAATGATGAAGGAGACTTCTAAATAGGGCTTCGAGATAGCCAACTAACCAGAGACCTGCCAATATCCATAGACTCGCCGAACGCGTTTACTGCACACCTACGAGGCACTCCGCACAGTGCTCAGCACTGAGGCTGGGGAATAAGCAAGACAGAGGAGAGCTCTGTTCACAGGGAGTTGCTTTTGAGTTCGGGAAACTGGGCAGCACAGAAGAAAACAAGTATACAGGAGCGTTTCCATCTTGGCTGCAGTGCTGAGGGGTCAGATGGAGGGAGGGAGGGAGAGAGGGATTGATTCAGAAAGACCTTCCTGAGGAGGTGACCTTTCAGCTCACTGCTAAGTGAGGGCCTGAGAAGAACATCCCGGCTCTCTCCTTTTGGGCAAAGGAGAGAGCCGGGGCCCAGGCCTTGATGTGGGAGTGAGTTTGGTGTGTTAGATGGGGTGAGAAGTGGCTAAAGGTCAAAATGTTACAGGGTGCTCCTCTGAGAAGCAGCCAGGCCCCATCAGGCAGGGCCCCATCCGTGAGGCATGGAAGCAATAGGAACGCTCTCACAGAACACATGGTCTCCCTTCTGCTCCGCATTTGACAACTAACTGAAAGAGCGGAGGTGTGAACCCACCCCAAGAGACCTAGAGGAGGCCTCCTGGTGTGGTGGTCAGAAGCTGGGCTGTTGACCATACAGTCAGCAGTTTGAAACCACTAGTCACTCCTCCGGAGAAAGAAGGGGCTTTCTAGTCCCATAAAGAGCTCATCTCAGAAACCCACAGGAGCAGCTCTGTCCTGACCTACAGGATCATCCTGAGCCAGAACTCAATGGTGGTGGGTTTCTGTTTTTTGGAAGGGGGCTTGGGAAGATCGACTTCCTAATGGAACCCCCATGGAGCAGTTCTTCTCTGCCTGGGATCTGTTCTAGATGGCAGCTCATTGGCTTTATGATCCACCGGGCACAAAAGTTAGTCTTGTCTTACGGCCAAAAAGAAATGAAACACCCAAACCTACATCTGAAGTGCCCGAGGTCGGGGCTTTGCAGTTGTGATGACCTGTATGCAGGATCCAGCCTTAACTCTAAGCACTCCCCTGACTTCTTTTTCCTCCCATGATGCCTCTTTCCCCACTCTCTCTCCCCCTGCATGTGAGGGTCCAGCGTGCCTCCCACCCCAGTCCCCTGCAAGCCTCTCTGCCCACACTCTTCTCACCATCCAACCAGTGCTGGAGAGATAGCACACACGGCTGATCCACGAAGCCGCACTACACACAGGGGATGAGGAAGCATTTCTAGGCAAGATAGGCTGCAGACGCATAAATCTGCTTTTAAAAAGCCATTCAATTTACATCCCTAAACAGAACCCTTGTCAGTCCAGAACCTGTGCGCTCAGCTTGATTCACAGCCTTCCGGTCTCCCCCAAGAACAAACAGTGGACACTTGCCTTGCATCTGCAAGTTAAAACCCTTCCACTGGACGTTTTCTCAGGATGAATAGCTGGCCCGCTCCAAAGTTAAGCTCAAGTTTCAAAGAGTAGAACAGTTTGGAACTTTCTGAATGGCTGATTTTCACCACAGCACCTCATGAGGCTGAAACCATGGCCAGTCCTGGGTGAGGGAAGCAGCCCCAGGTCTTTGGGGGAGTCCCCGCGGTCCTTTCATTGAGTTAGGACCCTACAGAGCAAGTATGGAGGCGCCATGTAATTCGAAGGCAGCAAGGACTTGGGAGGCAGCAGAAGCCTGCCCAGTGCTTCGGACTCTCCCTGCCACCCACTTGATTCTGATTCATAATGGCACTAGAGGGCAGAGTGGAACGGTACCCCTATGAGTTTCCAAGAGCCCTGATGGTATTGTGGCTTGTGTGTTGGGCTGCGAACCTAAAGGTCAGCAGTTCAAATCACCAGTTGCTCCCACAGGAGAAAGAGAAGACTTTCTTCTCCTGTAAAGATTGACAGCCCAGTGTTTGACACCTACGTTTTTTTTCTCCAGGTGCCCCAGGGCACACTTCACATGCATTGTTTAATGTGAAACGGTGGTTGTCCCCATCCCCTTTGCAGGACATCCAGGCCAATGCGGTTAAAACCCTGGCTTCTGGCCACCTCCCACTTAAATGACAAAGCTGGACTTCCAAAGCCCACATTCTTTCCTCCTGTGTCTCCTCTCCCAGAAGGATCTCATTGTTTCTGTGTCTCAGCAAGGAAACCCAGGTGAAGGGACGTTACACTTCCAAATTTTAAATCAACCGTCTTCTTTTTCACTTGATGGTCAAATCTGATGTTACTCGATTCTCGTTTAATCTCTTGGGAACAGTCTCCGAATTTTCTTCTATGGATTTTTGCTTTGTTTTCCATTTCATTAATTAGCTCGTGGCAGTTTCTAGCCCATTGCTGGAACTCCTGAGTGGAAATGAGAGCCATGCGAAGCGTCCTACACCACAGCCCAATGAAAACCCACTAGGGCTTGCCCTGGATGACCAGCCAGATGGGGCAGTGGTCAGTCAGGGGCAGAATTCTTGTTTTCTACGCAGGAGATCCAGGTTCAATGTCCAGCCAATGTGTCTGGTGTGAGGCCACCACGCACCCCTCTGTCACTGCAGACTTGCATGTCACTGTGGTGCCAAGGAGGTTTCAGTAGCGCCTCTGGTCTAAGATGCACTAGGAAAGGCCTGGTGACTTACTTCCGGAGCTCAGCCAATGAAAATCCTGTGGAACCAATGATCCAATCCCATTGAGTGCGGTGGGGGTGGGGGTGGGGGGCGCTGAGGGGGGCACTTGCATGCACGGCTTGGAGTAGAGTAAACAGCTAACAGATTAAAAAACCAAGAGGCGGCCACTGGGGTCATTGAAATGTAAAGAGGGGAGCTGAGAGGTGTGGGTTCTCACCCAAAAGTTTTTCCAAGTCCAAGATGCAAGACAAATGTGTGATGTTGGTGATGTCCGATTCTTTCTAGAGATTGATGCCCCCAAGAACTTGCGAGTAGGTTCCCGAACAGCAACCAGCCTTGACCTCGAGTGGGACAACAGTGAGGCAGAAGTGCAGGAGTACAAGGTTGTTTATAGCACCCTGGCGGGCGAGCAGTACCATGAGCTCCTTGTCCCCAAGAGCCTTGGTCCAACCACCAGAGCCACCCTCACAGGTGAGTGAGCCCTGTTTTCTGGGACACATTGCTTCCTGACTCTATGCCCTCACAACTCTTTCCCCAGCCTCCACTTGTAGCCAAACAGGGACCAGATTCCATTAAACTAACCTCCTAAGCTATGCATTGGGTTGCTAACCAGAAGGTCAACAGTTCGAAACCACCAGCCACTCCACGGGTTAAAGATTTACAGTCTCAGAAATCCAGAGGAGTGATTCTCCTCTGTCCTGTAAGGTTGCCATGAGTCAGAACTGGTTCCATTGTGGTGGATGGAGTTAAAGCACTTGCCAAATATGCCTGGCACTCTCGATGTGTACTGCCATCACCAGGCCTACACTACTCTTGTCAGGAGCACTGCAGTAAGCCCTCAGACTCTCTCTCTCACCCCTCTGACTTGGTCTTCACACCTCCAGTGATTTTTTTCAAAGTGCTTTTCTGATTCTGCCATTGCATGCCACGCGCATCTCAGGAACTTCCCTTTGCTGTTTAGAAGAACGCTGTACACCTATAGCATGACTCCCTAGCCCTGCGTGGCTCCACTCCTGCCTTCTTCTCTAGCCTCACCTCCAGGCCCACAGGACCGCAAACTCTTCCCTCCTGCCACAGGACTTTGCCCATGCTCTCCCTTCCTTCCTCCCCTCTCCCGACAGGCTCTCTCACCCACCTCCTGTACCCACTTGCCATGTGCTTTCTGTTCAGCTCTCGACTCAGGGTCACTACTCAAGGGGCCCTCTTCAGTTCCCAGGCAAGGTCAGCTCATCCCTTCCTGCAGCCTCATCTCATAAACTAACATCTCACCCTTGTCTGTCATGAACAAGCCGCTCAGTGAGGAAATGGTTAAGAGGCTGGGCTACTAAGTGAAGGACTGGTGATTCAGGAGCCCCCAGAGATGCCTGGGGGAGGCAGGGGGTTGGGGAGTGGGGATGTACTAACAATCTACTGCCAAGCACAGTCGGTCATAGAGCTCCCTGCAGAGCACACCTCTATTCTGACACACGTTGGATTAGCCCCACGAAACTCAGAATGTGCTGTTATTGGACGCTTTGCCACCACTCTAGACTTAAAGCTTTATGTCCAAAAGGACAAGACCAAGGTCCCTGCCATGCCCTGGGCTGGATGCTAACTCACAGCGACCCTACCGGACAAGGCACCACTGCCCCTGTGGGCTTCTCAGACTGTCACCCTCTACCGGTGCACCAAGTCTTGTCTTTCTCCCAAGAGGGGTGGCTGGTGGCTTTACATGGCTGGCTTTGTCATTAGCAGCCCATGACAGCTGGATCGTATTTGTTTATTTTTGCTCATCGTTGAACTCTGCGTCTTGCTCATCATCGGTCCTCCATAAGTCACTCGAGTGAGTACATGAGTGAAGGGATGGGCAAAAAAGCTCACCGTGACGAGCAGAGTGCACAAGGGCCAGAAAGCAGGTGCAGGTGTGATCTCGGAGGGCGCCGTAAGCTCTAGAAAGAATTGGGGTTGAGTGTTGCCTTGGGTGCTGGGGAGTTGCTGAGGGACTGTGACTAGGGTGGCCTGATGGCTAGTTTTGTGCAGCTGTGGGGTGGAGAGCAGATGGGAGGAGGACAAGGCGGGAAGCCCGGAGACTCACCAAGAGGCAGTGGCTGGACTAAAGGCAAAAATGCTGGTGGTGCCGAAGAAGACAGTGCCTACATCACCGGAGGCCCCCTTGTGGGGCAGGGCTCTTTGTCCCCGTGGGTGTGTGGGACATCTCCTAGTGCATCTCCTGAGCCCTGCCACACACCCCGGCAGGGAAACCTACCTGTGGGGCCTCACTGAGAGGTCATGATGGGCGAGCCTGGGCGTGGTTCTCAAATGGTAGAGAGGCTGTGCAAAGCGGCGGTGGCTCAGGGCTGCCCATGTGCTCATGGGCAGAGATTTCATTTCATTTGTGTGTTGACTTCTTGCAAAGGCATTTGCCATTTTAGTAGGCACGGGATGCTTAGCAAAGAGTGCATACAGTAAACAAGGGCGATATAATCAAAGTTGTTTTCCTCTCCAGCTAAAATCTCACACCACCTTGCCAAATGAGGCCAGTTAAAGTAAATATAATAAATGCCTTTTCCAGACAGATGTGCCCCTGGGGGAGTGGGAGGGGGGCACCAGCAAGGAAATGGAAGGATATGCTGACCAAGCAGGTTCATAGGGGTGAATTAAACATAGATGAACAGACCAGCTGGCATCAGGGCCTTTTTTTGCAGAAAACTGGAGACATTCACAAAAATTAAGCTAAACCAAAAGCCGAGACTGACGCAAGAGGGAACTTATTCTAAGCACAGCCCGTCCCTGCTGCAAGCCTCGGGCTGACTTGGCAATTAGCAGTTACAAAGACGATGGCTGGGTGTTTGGATGGAAGATCCACAATGAGCAGGAGCGAGACAACTGCCCAGTCACCTCCTCCTAGTTACCGTTTCCCACGACCAGGGGGGAAAGGTGAAGATTCAGCAATGATCCTCTGTCGTATGCCAGGGAGTCATAGGAACCCTGCAGACCGGCCCGGTGCGCTTCCAACAGCTGCAAATCTTGATTTGTGCGGAAAGCCCAGTGGTGTCCCAGCTGCTGGCACCCCATCCCATCCTGATGGCTTCTTTAATCTTCTCGACTTTGTGAGGTATTTTTAGCAGCACCACTGGATGGATGAGAAAACTAAGACCCAGGAAAACTGGGAACTTGCTCAACTTCACACTTAGCAAAGGACATAGCTATGACTCAAAGTTAGTTCTGAGCCCCAGGAGAAATATGTTCCCCCATGAAAAATGGCGCCCCATTTCATGGCTGTGTCTACAAACAAAACATAAACATAAACATAAACATAAACAATGGCCCAAAGGAAAAAGCTGCAGATTGGCAGGGGATGGAATAGTATTAATGAGTGGTAGTCTTGGGTTGTCGGGTTTTTTCCCAGGGCTGCATTTATGAAAGTATATATGGATATATAATTCCATATATATAATTGATATATATGTACATGTATATATATATATAATCTCATAAACCCAACCCTGACAAAAATTCACCCTATCTAAGTTCACATAATTATCCCAGGGAGCTCACTGCTGGAGAGATTTATAAAGGCAAATAGCTGTACATGATTTAGAAGGGATTATAGGCATGTAAGGAAATCAAGTATGTCTGTACTTGCAGAGACAAGAATTACAAGGATTGTTAGCTCTCCTGCTGCAGTATCTGGAGGAAGAGAAAGAAGGGCTGGGAGGGGGGAAGAGAAAGGGAAGGAGGAATTTAACCTCAGCTCCAAGGAGTTGTGATGTCTCTCACACTCCAAGCTCTGACCCCAAAGAGGAGAGTTTTCCAGCACCCAGGACCTGTGTTCCCACTCCCTGTCAGTTTGGGGCTCGCATGTGGCAGTGGTGCTGGAAGCAATGCCACAAGTATTTCAAGTACTAGCAGGATCACACACAGCAGATAGGTTTCAGGAGAGCGTCTAGCCTATGAAAGACTAGGAGGAAAGGTCTGGTGATCTGTTTATTTAAATTAGCCAATTAATAACCCTATGATATGGGCCATAACGGGACATTGAACCTACTTGCTTTGAACACATTGCTGGGACATTTTAGTCATCCAAAGTGGACACCACGTTCCGTGACTCACAGCGCCAGCACAGGCATGGGGACCATCCGTGAGACGGATTGGCACAATGGGCACAACAAGGAACTGGAAATGCTGGTGGTTACAAGGACGATGCAGGAGTAGGCGGTGTTTCATTCTCTTGGGTCTAAGATCACCAGGAGTCTGACAAGTCAAGGGCATGGACAACAATAAGCCTGTGTTCAGACACTGGAGCCCAAGTTTTATCTGAATGCTCTGCTCCACGCCCAATAGGAAGGGCCCAGGGTCTGCTCTGCCACTTCCTGTGTGATCTGGAGCAATTAACCACTTCACCTCATGGGTCATCCTGCAGAATTAAGACAATACCTCCAATTAGTTTGATGTAGTGTTTCTACTAAGCTAGTAAACCACTCAGCTAAAAGGAGGCAGGTCTCTGTAAGCTCCTAGATGTCGGTGCTGTTAGGTGCTATTGAGTGGGTTCCAGCCCATAACGACCTATTCACAGCAGAACAGAACACAGCCCCATTGTTCCTCTGACTGTGTCCACTGCGGCAGCCCCGGGGTCAGTCCCGCTTGTGGAGGGCCTTGCTCTTTTTTGCTGCCCCTCTACTTCCCCAGGGACTGGTTTCTTCTGACAGCCAGTCCAAAGTCCATGAGATGGAGTCTCACCATCCTGGCCTCTAAGGAACACTCTAGCGGTACCTCTTCCCAAACAGATTTGTTTGTTCCCTTGTTGGTCCACCACAATGCAAATGCCTCGATTCTTCTTCGGTCTTCCTTATTCAATAGCCAACTTTCACATGCATACGAAGTGATTGAAAATACCAGGGCTGGGGTCAGGTGCACCTTCGTCCTCAGAGTAACCTCCCTGCTTCTCACCACTCTAACGAGGTCTTGGGCAGCAGGCCTCATAGATGGCTTAGTGTAGCCTCTGTGAAGCAGTGCAGGCAGTGGTTTTGTATCTGACTTCTCCAACGGTGGTAGGAGGACCAACAGCTTCAGTATGACCTGAGAGATGTGAAAGCTGTAGAATCATAGGCCCACCCACCTCAGATCGACTGAATCAGACGCTGCATTTTATCTGAGCCCAAGGTGATTTGCGTGCACAGTAATGGATGAGACGTATTCACTGAGAGCAGAGTGTAGCTTCTGAGGTCATCCCTCTATGTTGCCCGAGTGGGGCTTGAGTCTAACTCCATAGACACGTGTCCTTGGACAAATGTCTTCCACTTCCTGTGCTTCAGCTTCCTCGTGTGGAGACACCAGATCTACCTCATGGGGTTTTGTGAGAATTAAATGAAACCATTAATAGGATAGATGATAGATATAGATACATAGATAGATAGACAGACAGACAGACAGACAGACAGACAGACAGACAGACAGACAGACAGATAGATAGATAGATAGATAGATGTGTA